TCCTAACAACATACAACGAGGTTCCAGCCGCCCAACCCCTATAGGAGCACAGCAGCCCCGTGCTCCCGGCGCTGAGGGTCAGGTCTCACCCGACCCCACGCCGGCGGTCACCATCAGCGGCCCTCGGCTGCCCGCAGCCCCGCCTGGCTGCACAGCGCGGCCGGCTCCTCACAGCGCTCACAGGCCGCGTTGCAGCTTCCCAGCAGCAGCACAGCCCCGTCCGTAAGGCAAGAGGTGCTGCCATGCGCAGCCGGCCCTGCCCCGAGGCAAGCAGGGGCTCGGCCTTCACTGGCTGTTTGTGCTGTGCCAGTCTGCCTGCCCTCACTGTGCCACCTTGTCCGCCAGCACTGACCCCCTGCTCAGCCTCACATCATGCTGGTTCAGGGCACAGAAGCTCAGCCTGGCCAGCAGCAGTTAACCAAGGTATGGCACTACACGTGATTTTTAAAACCTGCTTGCTCCTTCTGCCAGCTGCCATGGCCTGAGACTGCCACGCAATCCTAATCACAGGGTTTTGAGGAGCAGGAAGGTAATGGCTATGGGCAGTGGGGCTTCCAGTTGTGCAGTTCAGGACAGGAAAGCGCTAGGGCACCAGCCTTCTTCTGATCTCAGCAGCAAGCTGTTCTCTTGGGATATCAACCTACAAAGCAAGCAGAAAGGAGCAGTTATCTGCCAGATCCACAATACAGCCCTCCAGTGTAATTCCAAGAAAACCCAGAGCCTTTTGGGAGCAGCTGGATTTTGGAAACACCTCTGAAACTTGCTGTAGCGACATTCTCACCTCCTCTCTTGTTGCAACATCTCGCAACTTGACAACTCCATCCTTCAGCTCCTGCTCTCCTATAATGGCAACAAGGGGGATGCCCATGTCTTCACAATACTGCAGCTGTTTTAGCAGTTTAGGGTCCTTTCTGTACATCATTTCTGCCTAGAAGGAAGCAGTGGCGAATTATCAGTGCAAACTGGCTCTTGGAACAAAACAGCAGGCACTGCAACTGCACAGAAATCTCACTGCTCCTGCAGCCAGCAGTTGCCTTTAGTGCTCTCAGGCCTCTGGATCGCATGCAGACCCCGATGCTGCACAGCCAGCCAGCAGAGTCAGGCTCTGCTAAAACTTCACTGAGGCTCTCCCTCCCTGACTCGTTCCAGCACCAAGCCCACACCCTGATTTTACCTTGATTCCTACATCCCAGAGCTCAGAGATGAGCTTCAGTCTTGCACTGAGTAAATGTTTCTGAGGTGTCGCCACCATCACTTGTGTCTCAGTCATTCGGACTTTCTCCCCTGAAGCCTGTGGAGACAGACATGTTCATGGAAGCGCCTGTGTCAGCAGGCTAGCAGCTCATCTAGTAGCAGCAGCTCACTTATTTCATCACACTAGACCTAAAAGTAACTAAGGGGCTTTCCCTGAAACCTCTTTAGTGATTGCTACAAAATGCTGCTCACAACTGTAACCTGATGGGCTCTATGTTCTGCATGGATGAGATGACTCATCCTCGCCTCCGAAATACTTCCCTCCTCAACACTGTGGAGCTCAAGTTACAAATAACTACTTCTGAGAGCCCTCCCCCATACCCCAGCAGCCAGCAGCACCTACCTTCATTCTGTGCTCAAGGATGGAGAAGATCCGCTCAATCCCAATGCTGACCCCCACACACGGCACCTTCCGTCCCTTGGGATCAAACATTCCCACCAGGCCATCATAGCGACCGCCTCCAGCCACGCTCCCAACGCTGACCGACTCCTCTCCATGGTCATTCTCCTGCTGCAGCAGAACTGCCTCATATATCACCCCCGTGTAGTAATCCAGGCCTCGGGCAAGGCTCAGGTCAAAGGACACCTGCAGGACACAACAGAAGCCCCTTCAGCAACTGCGGACGCGGACCCACGGCTGCCCAGCCAGCAGGGCAGCACCCCTCCTGCTCTGCTCCTCCTCACCTTCCCCGTGATGCCAAACAGCGTCAGGTACTCAAACAGCAGCTTCATGTCCCCCAGCCCCTCCTTGGCCAGCTTGTTCTGCGACAGCTTTGGGTCCTGGAGAAGCTGCTCAATCAGGTCCAGGCCACCTGCAGGGACAAGCTGTGTCTCAGCTCAGCCGGCGCGGCAGCACCTGCAACGACCCAGGCTGCTGCGTGTGCTGCTTTGTGCCCCTCCATCCCTGCCCAGGACACTGGCCTTGGCCTGCCTGGCACGGAGGAGAGCAGCTGCACTCGTGGGCAGCGCAGCAGAGCAGGGGGGAGGGCAAGGGCTGGATCCCACCGTGCTCACCGTGAAGCTGGACGTACTCCCCGATGCGATCTGCAGCCTCAGGTGAGAGTCCCTTCTCTCCCACCATCTCGCTCCTCACTTCCTCCCACGGCATCTAAGGTGAATAAAGAGCATCTGTCACTGCAGAACATTCACATCAGAACAGTCTCCAGAGGCCCCTGTATCCAGCACATATGCTATAATGTAACATAATTGTCCGTGAGCAGTCCTTACTAATGATTTCTGTGTGTCTCACACAGATTGTTAACTAAGATCAGAAAATGCCAGGTCTTACTTTTTGCCATTGCTATCAGCCCAGAATCTCTTTGTGTCCTTTACAATTAGTAATGGCTTAATTATTATGATAGTGCCCTGCACCTGACATCCAACCCGAGACTGGAAGTGACCTGCTGTAAGAACACAGTGCTTACCTTGTCCAGCTTGTCCAGAGTAGAGCACATAGTTGAAAGTTTGCTCTCCGGGATGCCACAAATGGCAAACACACCATTCAAAATTCGTCTGTCGTTAACCTGGGGGTTGGAGAAGCATGCTTAGCTCAGAAAAGATGTTCTACTGCAATTTCCTCCTGCCCTTCTGCAAGGAGTGCTAGAAGCACAGCTGTTGGGAGTCTGCTTGCATCCTTTGACTGGTGTCTCAATCCCACAGCACACTAGAGCCAGGAAGTGAAGGCACAAACGTGTATAAGATACCTGGCTCTGGTCTCACCTTGATGAGAAAATCCCCAATCTGCAGCTCGCTCAGGATCTCATGCACTATCTTCAGGCACTCAGCATCAGGAATCATAGGGTCATACTGGCCGGCAATGTCAAAATCCTGAGGCACAAGAAAAGGCAGAGACTCTGGCACAGCTGGGCAGCTGCTGAAGCCTGGCTCTCAGCTGTTCACCCATGCACTCTCCCCCCTCCCCTGGCCCAGGACCACAACACTCACGCACTGGTAGAACTCCCTGTAGCGGCCCCTGGTCATGGCCGGGTTGTCCCGCCTGTACACCTTCGCGATGTGGTAGCGCTTGATGTTGGTGATTTTGTTCATTGCCAAGTAGCGAGCGAAGGGCACCTGGGGGAGTGAAGAGTTAAGGATGGGAACGAGGAAGATCCTCTGAGGTGCAGAAAGATAAACCTCAATCTCCCTGTCGTTTCACCTCCAGAGCTGGTACAAACACTGGAAGCACAGCCTGGCTGAAGATGAGTACCACTGTCGTGAGAACGCTGCGCTCCTGTAGCACAGCTGCACTTCCTCCACAATCACAGCACATCAACACCTTGCCAACATAGAGTTCTACCAGGTCGTTTTGCTTTCCTAAGGTGTGACGCAAAGAAAACACCACATATAGTGTTTTTATAGGTTTTTAGGCATGTTGTGGAGATGGAGAAGGCCCAGGATGGATGCCTGCTTTCTACGTGCAGCAAACACTGTTGCTTTCTCAGAACTATCGGAAAGGTGGCATGGCCTGGACAGGAGGGCACAGAGCTGGGCATGGTAACAAGGAAGCAGTATGACCAGCAGTGTGGAGCACACTGGATGAGCACAGACTAGGGATGAGAGAGTAGCTTTGCTGCAGATACCAGACTGACTGGAAGGATGTTCACTAGTTCTAGTGGGAAGGAGCTTTTGGCCATCTTGATGGGAAAAAGTTAGGATCTGCAGACAGGTCAGGACATGGATGATCTACCTAATGTCTTTAAACTAGGCAGAGGAGGCTGTAATCTCAGTTTGTCTCTGCTCCTGCCACCAAAGCTGCATATTCTGTGTGCAGTAAAGGCAGGATACGGTCAGGTCGTAGCGCAGGGCCAGCAGCTCTCCTCCCTGATCCTGCAGCTCATAGATGAGCCTCGAGTTGTCTCCATACTTCTCCATCAGCATTTCCTAGAGAGAAACGAGGTGACTGTCAGAGGAGGCAAGGCACTGTCAGACACAAAGCTTGCAGTCCCCAGCACAGAGGACAAGCAGGGGAGTCAGCAACATTCAGTCAGTGATCTCTGAGCAGTTGACCCCAACCCAAAGCTCAGCTGTGAGCCGTCACTGAGGCAGGATGTTTGTTTTTTGGTCTGCGAGGCCGAGGTGAGAGCAGCATGGCCTCCCCATCCCCCTGGAGACTCCCAACCCCTTGTATAAAGGACAGGATACAGGGTGAGGTGCCCCGGAACAAGCACATAGGACAGAAGGGCACCCCATTCCCACTGGGGAAACCCGGGGGACACCCCTCACCTCCCAGCGCACCCCGAACCGCGGCCCCAAGTCCTCACCCGCAGCTCCAGCACGGGAGTGTCGATGGCGGCCGCCCCGTGCCGTTTGAAGCACGACACCACGGTGCGGAAGAGCCGCTCTCGGAGCGCCATCTGCACGGGGTGGTGGTAGCGGGTGCCCTGGGCGGGACGAAGAGCGGCCGCTGAGCGCCAGTACAGCCCCGAGCGCACCGCACGGCGCCGTGCCGTACCGCCCTTACCTTGGGCGTCTTCAGAACAGAACCATGCTCAGCACCGGTTGAACCCGCCGCCGCCCGCACCTGCCGGCAGAGGAGCCCGAGCAGCAGAGGGCCAGGGGGCGCGCAGGGCCGGGGGAGCCGAAGCGGGCGCCGGGCGGCCGCGGCGACGGAGAGCGCCCGCAGCATGACCAAACTGGGACCATCGAGTTCCCACCACGGGGCGAGACCAGAGCACCGCTGGAGGCGGGGCGCTCCGGCCGGACAGCCAATGGCAGGCGGCTGAGACCGGAAATGGCGGCCCGTCGCGCCGCTCTAGGTTGAAGCGCGGCGTACTCGTTGGTGTTTGGGTGACCCTGCTTTGCTTTACGACACGAATTCGCACAGCGCGACAGTTCCCGTTTCCTCGTCGCCTGCAGCTCAACATGGCGTCGGGCAGCGGGGTGAGTGCCGCCGGCCGGGCCGCGCTCCCTCCTTCCAAGAGGCCGCGGGCAGGGCCGCAGCGGGACCGGCCGCCCTGGAAGCGCGGGAGGCTCAGAGCCCCGGCGCAGCAGGGCCGGGCTCGGGGCCTGAGGGCGGGCCGCGTGTCAGAGCCGTTCGGAGGGGCCGAGGCGGGGCCCTTCGCCTCCGCCGCTCCGCGTGCGGCCGCGAGACGTTCGGGAACCCCGAGAGGTTGAAGGGGGGGGTGAGACCGACCCCCGTCTTCTCTTCTCGTGGCCCGGCCTGCCTCGCGAGCGCCCGTTCTGCTGAAGGATCGGACCTGCCCGGCGGTGTGCTGGCAGCCCCTCCCCGCTGTCGCCTCCCGTCCCGCCTTGCTGCTTTCCAGCCCCTCCGGGCGGTGGATGAGGGCCTGTCCTGCCGTGTGCTGAAGCGTCTGCCTGCTGCCTCTCTGCTTTGTTCCTGTGTGATGCGATTGCTGTGTGGGACTGTTGGTGGTGTGGCGGGGCAGCGAGGTCTTGCTGCCTTTGTGGACCTGCGGGATTTGATGTTGGAAATAGGCTGATTGAGGCAAACAGTGCTGGTGTGACCTGACTGGAGAGCCAGGCTGGTTCAAACAGGTCCTCTAATACCCAGAATGGGTCAGCACTGCAGGGCTGTGCGCTTCTGCTTCCTTGGTAAATCTTTTGTTTGCTTGAAGCCACTTGCTGAAAGGAAGCGATGTTGGCAGAGCAGATGGAGCAGAATGCTTGCAGAGGAATGAGGAGCTGATGTTTTGTTTTTAGCTGCTTGAGGTTATGACCCTGTTATATGGAGCTGGGGCAGAGACTCCCGTGCCCTTGCGTGGGCTTTGTCACCAATACTGGGTCAGTCATTTGCTGCCAGCATCCACAGCGAACATGAGGCTGTGGGACAGTTTTGTTTTTGCGTCATTACTTACTTGGGAAATACTCTTAAGAAAAGAGGTTGGTATTGCAGCAATCCTTGCCTCCATCAGAACAACAATTAAGAAAAAAAAGTTCTTTGGATAACTTCTATCCAAGATCTTGTCAGAGATCCCCAGCTCACAGCTGGGTTTGCTTTCTTTCGTTGCGCCGGCACTGGGGAGATGGTAAAAGACCCATGAACAGCAATTTCCCTTTTATTACAACAGGAGAGTAGAGCAGCCAGTTGTCTCCTCTCGGGGCTCTGGGAGGCTATGATTTGTGATAATGTGCTGCTATGCAGGAGAATCTAGGTTCTGGAAAATACCCCAAAACATTAATTTGCACTCTGTGATATTTTCTTGTCTTTTGCTCAGGGTGGTTAATAAAACCTGTTATGACATGCTTAAAGTGCTTTAGAAGCTCTGGGAATAAATGAGAATTTTTCTACGCTTCCCTAAGGTACTTTCGTTCTTATCAGTAGTTGTTCACTCCATTTGAAGGATTGCCAGAGGAGAAACCATTAAATGACTGCTGCTGCTGCTGCTATAGCTTCAAATGGGATTTATTTTCTTTGGATTGTGATTGGGTTCTTGATTTGGCTGAGCAGAGAGGTGGTGGGTGGGTGTGGGTCCTCTTTTCCCGGAGGTGTTTTAAAATACATCCATACTTTTTTCTTTTTAATGTGAAACCGAGAGCCTCTCGCTGCCGTTCCGAGTGAGATGCAGCTTTCCAGCTGTATGGGAGAGATCTTCTCAGGAGGGCAGAGAAGTGTGTGAGCTGTAAGCTCTGACCGTTGCCAGGTGTGGTGGCTGTGGCCCTCGCTGCCTGCTGGGCAGTCGCTGGGGAGGTGCTGTGCTGTGCCAGGTTGGTGTGTAAATAGAAGGAAGCATTCTTGGCCAGTCGCTGCTGCCCTCAGCAGTGGTGTCTGTTCTTTTGGGTGTGGGGGATTTTTACCCTGGTTCTCTTATTAATCTGGTGCCAGCTTTACCTGAATTCTGCCTCTCTTCACACAGTTTACTCTGTCATTCCCAGTTTAAAGTGCTTCCAGGGGCTGATGGAGGGCCGGGCTGCCTTCAGGATGTTACTTCCCTTCCCTGATTGACTTAAATGGGGAGTTAAAGGAGTGGGGCAGCTTGCTGTGTGTTTCACAGTAACCTTTCCTAATATTTCCATGTCCCACTTTGACTTTTGGAGCGTTCAGAGATTTTTCTGTTCTGCTCCCATGCATGTCTCAGTTTAAAAAAACTCAAACTGGTTCCTGTGCTTCAGTAGAAAATTCAGTGCTTTGGTTCCTGTGACAGGTAAATGTATTGCTGATATCTTTGAGAGCAGGGAGCATCCTCTGCTGTGCTGCTGCGTCTTCCTCGCCTGGTGTTTGTAACTGAGATGCAATCTTTGGAGGCAGTGTGTGCAATCTGCTCATGACTGCCTCGTGTTCATCAGGTGGTGCCTGTGCAGTTTTGGGTCTGACAGTTTTGGTGCCCTTTGTGCCTGTTTTTCAGGAGGAGGGGCTGGGTGATCATCTTGGGAACTACTGAAATAAATTCAGTACTTTGTTCAGTTCTAAGAAATCCTTCTACAAGTAGATACAGCATGCTCAGTGCCATCCTGTTACTCCCTGGATATGAAAACAAAGGGCATGGCAATGCAGTGCAGTGCCCCTGAGTCACTGCAGTGGGCTTACAGGGCAAACAGTTCCGTGCCTTTCCTTCTCCTTGGAGCTAATCAGACTGCAGGGTAATGCTAATGCACTTGGCTTCTTTCTCAGACTAAGAACTTGGACTTCCGCCGAAAGTGGGACAAGGATGAATATGAGAAACTTGCAGAGAAGCGGCTCACGGAGGAGAGAGAAAAGAAAGATGGTGAGTAGTGCAGTGTGCTGGCTGCAGGCGAGCTGTGCTCTTGGGCAGTGAGTCACCCAAACCCTCTTGGGAGGGATGGAGCAGCTAGGAATGAAATCCCAAAGGGAAACAGAAGCAATTCAAGGCTGGTTTGCTCCAATCCTTTTTTTCCTTTGCTAGCCACTGATTTTTTAAAAATTTTTTTATTTTTCCCTGACAAAAATAATTACTGAAAATCTCTGTCTCTGTTGGCCTATTCTTTGTGGAGGGAGAGGAATAATCAGCCCCTGGAAACAGGGAGACCTCAAGAGCGACCCAAGTCAGAGCTGGAGATGCTTCCCAGATCTGCCTGTTTCTTCTAACAGTCTTAATTTTCACTTACCTAATGAGGTGGTGTCCTTTACTGACCTCAGAAGCAAGAACCAAGCAAACAACAAAGCGAACAAAAACTCAAGTGCAATTTCTGCACAAATCACATGGTTCCTGGGTTTCTGGCAGACTCCTTTGTCAAGGGCAGCATGAAATCCAGCAGGGCAAGCTTGACCTTTTCTCATAGATGCCTGAGACTTTTGCTTATGTTTTAGGCAAACCAGCCCAGCCTGTCAAAAGGGAACTTCTGCGGCACCGGGACTACAAGGTGGACCTGGAATCGAAGCTGGGGAAAACCATTGTCATTACCAAAACTACCCCTCAGTCAGAGATGGGAGGGTAAGTGCTGCCCTTTTTGTTGGAACCTGAGTTGTGTTGATAACGCTGGGGCCTGTGATAAAGCTGTGAGCCCTTACAGAGTGCTGGTGAGTATTTTCCCCCTGTGTTTGAGCCTGGTGAGATAGTACTGCACTGCCCTGCACCTAAACTGTGTCTTCAGGATAACGTGTGGAAAAGGCACAGCAAACTGAGCCACTTCCAGTCTTATGGCTTGAGATCAGTGTTGCTTTGCCCTCTTGTAGAAACAGCTGAGGTAGATCTCTGCTTCCCACCTGGGTTTTGTTAGTCAGGAGAGCTGCCTGCAATGAAGCATGAGGCACGGGGAGTGGGAGAATGAGAGATCCTGACAGCAGTTCTGAGGAGTGGCACCTGGTTGCTGTGTGTGAGGATCATAGAATATTGGAATCATTTCAGTTGCAGGGGACCTTTAAAGGTTATTTTGTCCTACTCCCTTGTGAAAAATAGAGACATGTTTGGCCAAAGGCTGAAAGGGTTCTTAGCTTACCTTAAGCCATCCAGATGCTGAAGAGCATGCATTAAATTGGTGCCTTTTGAAGAGTATGCCTGTTGGTGCCTCACTGTTGTAGCTTAGTAGTCAGTAGTGCCAGGGACAGCACCAGACAGCCCTGAACAGTAGCCAGGGATAGAAATGCCAGCTGTGCCAAAGCTGTTAAGATGGGTGGAAAGCAGGAAGCTGCTCCTGCGAGGTGACAGGTGTGAGAAGACTTGCCTTGCAGGTGTGAGAGCCCACAGCAGGCTGCAGTGAGAATCCAAGGGGAATCTTGGGCTGTGTGGCCTGTCCTGCTGTGGAGGAAGGCAGCTGAGCACTGGGATGTTACAGAGACCATTCCACCTTGTTCTTTGCAACTGGAAGGGCAAGCAGCCATGGCCATCACTGTTATGATTCAGCCCTTTTTGATTTATATCATCTCTTGGAGTGGCATCAACATCAGGGCTGGTAACTGCAGCGTTGCCTTCGGTTGCTCTGTCAGTCTGGGCTATGGCCTTGCATGTCTTTTCCCTGAGGTAACTCCCCTCTCAGCCTGGATAGAGTCGTGTCCTAAACAAAGGCCTGATCTTTCAGGGTATCTGAGATCAGATGATGCAGTTGCTGGGATTGTGCTTGTTTCAGTTGCTCCAATGAGGACTTTGGGTGTTGTGGCATTGGATTGGTTTGAATTCAGTGGTCTGAGTTAGACCTAGGAGGTCCAAATAACATGGAGATTTTGCATTTTAGGTCATTTCAAATAGTGAGGTCTGTCTCATACTTTGAAGTTAATGTTGGTTTTTTTTCTCCCCCTCTCCTGCTAGGTATTACTGTAATGTCTGTGACTGCGTGGTGAAAGACTCCATTAACTTCTTGGATCACATCAATGGCAAAAAACGTAAGGACAATTATTCTGCATTGTAGGACAACTCTAGGCTGTCCCCTTCATGCATCACCAGTTTCTGAGTGCTGAACATTTACACGTAGATCAAAATGTGCTTTGGTGATTGGGGTGTAGGCAGAGTTTACTCTTTAGAGCTGTGGAGATGTGGTCTTCATCTCATGGCAACTTCTCCAGGCTGATGGGCCGTTTGTGTGGAATAAACCCAGAAGAAATAGTGAATCTGGTTAGATAGAATTATTTTTTCCACTCAGTGTCTGCACTGCACCAAGTTCAGGCTCAGCAAATCGTGATGTCTGCTCTGAGAATATGGAGAGAGATTTTTGTTTTTTAATAGCATTGAAACGTAAATCAATTCTTAGAGAAGTGAAAAGTATGGACCTCTCACCAGTCTGATTTCTTTCACTAGCCTATGCTTGGATCATAAGCTTCCTTTTTGTAGAATATGAGTGTGAAGCTCAGGTCCAGCTGGTCTCTGAGCTGCAGGGCACGAATCAGGATGCACAAGGGTGGAAGATGTGGTTTGCTCAAGTGTGGCAGAATCAGAAGGTGGGAAAGGATAACCCCCGAGTTGCTGTGTGATGCAGCTGGTGTCGCTGTCCTGTGCAGCTGTCCAGATGTGATCACACAAAGGTAGGCTTTCCAGAGAGCACATACATATATACATATGGTAAAAGCCACACAGATTCATGCTTCTTCCCTGTTGTTGAGATCATGCAGTTAACTTAGCCAAAGAGAACTGGGAACTCTTTTTCTCTTGCCAGTTTCTCTGCTGTGTTTTACTTGAATAAGAGGACAGTGTGGAATGCAATCAAAACAGGACTTTATTGAACTGACCCACATCGCAGAGGCAGTATTGCTTCTACTTGGCACATTCAGGGAGTGGGGAAAGTAAAGGAGCAACGGGACAAAATTACATGCTCTTGGCATGCTGTTCTGCTCCTAAAGGTGATTTTGAGTCTCTGTGTAAGTCACCAAATGACTGTTTTTCAAAAAGATGGTGATGTATGTGATGCAGACCCATCCAGCCTCTTGTACAAAGGAATACTCAGCTTCCCTTTCTTTAGTAGGAGGCTGCTCCTTGGGGTCAGAATATTTTAGAAATGGGGAGGCTTTAAAGAAGAGCTGAGGGCAAATTTTCTGTAGCTTGTGGCTGGAAATCCATTGCACTGAGGCCAGGTACTTTTATGGGAATGGGAGGATGACAAAGAAGCATTGTGATGATGAGAGGTCTGTAAGTCTGAGAGAATCTGTAAGCCTGTCTTTGTGCAAGGTTCTGAGATGAAGGCTTGAGCTCAGGTGGGAAGGTGGCGTAGCTCTTTGTACAATGCGAGTGAGTTTGGGAGCAATGGGGTCCACTGACTGAAATCTGATTGTTCTACCAGCACTCGTGGTAGTTCATAGTGCACAGCTTGAGCTTTCTAGTGCTGCAATGTTAGGACAGAGCTGTGTGTGGCTGCTAACATCAGCAGGCTGTTTGGATCCACCAGGAAGGTGGGCTGCAGACAAAGCTGGGGATGATTCTTTCCCACTGGGCTCATTCACCAGTGGGAACCTGCGCTAAAAAGACACTGAATTAAAGGCCTGTCTTAATATTTCATTGCTTTGCTTCAGCTGGAAACATCCCATGTACTCAGGGTCTCTTATTGCGAGCTGCTTCCTTAGCTTCTCCCACAGTCAAAGGAAGCCAGCTTGCTGGTTTTATTCTGAACCATTGTTCAGTGCTCTGGTCCTTATTTCCCTGGTCCAAGATAAAAACTTCCAGAAGTACCAGAACACCAGCACAGTCAGGAGCTCCCTAATATGGAACCTTAAAATAAAAGGTTGCATCTTCCTCCTTGGTAGGGGCAGTACAGGGATCGCTGTAGTCACTGACCTGTCTGGGTTCTGGGTGTCTGGTTGCACCCCTAAATCCCACCTCATCTCTGCCGTGAGAAATCCCAGTGCACACAGCGTGAGCCAAAGGAAGGCAGGAAGTGTGTGCCTTTAGGGAGGAGGGGGAGAGGGCACTGCTGTGTCGAGCCTCCAGGCTGGATCTGAGTTACCTGGTGTGTCCTTAGGGGAGCATGGAGCTGGGAGGTGGCTGCCCTGGCGGCTGGGCGCTGCAGTGCCGTGCTGATCTCTGTTGCACGAGAACGTGAGGACAAAGCTGCTCCCTGTGCTCTGAGTGGCAGCGGGGTGCTGTGCTGAGATAGCTGGACTGGGAGCAAGGAGGGGTGCTGTGTGCAGACCTTGAGAGGCTAAGGATATTGCTGAACATGGCTGGCTGTGTTCCTCCAGACCAGAGAAACTTGGGCATGTCCATGCGGGTGGAGCGCTCCACGCTGGACCAGGTGAAGAAGCGCTTTGAGGTGAACAAGAAGAAGATGGAGGAGAAGCAGAAGGACTATGACTTCGAGGAGAGGATGAAGGAACTCCGCGAGGAGGTGAGTGTGGGCAACGGCTGGCAAAGCAGAACCCCTGAGGAGAGCAGCCCTGGCTCCTTTTCCTGTTTAGCAGAGACCTTGTGCTCGATGGTGTTGGGCTTCTTAGCTGCTGCTCTGAGTGGGTCTGTTTCCTTGCTGCTTCTTTTCTTAAAAATAATGGCTGTTGTGGTCCCTGGAAATCCTTTTTTCTTCTTTATGCACGAGGCTCCTTACTTCTGATACTTGAAGTTTCTACTAGGAGTACTGCAGCCCTGACAGTACACCTTCTTTGTGTCCCATTACTTGTATTTGCATTTACGTGCTGTGATAGACAGACCAGAATACTTGTCCCTGGCCTTTGTGAGGCGTGCCGTGGTTCTGGGGATTGCTGATTCCTTCTCCATGTGGCACACTGCTTTTGTGTGGCCTCCCAAAGTGAAGCGGGGCTTTGTGTGCTGTGTGTGGAAGCAATGAAGGGCATCAGATTCCCCTCAAACCTGGGCTTAAGTGCCAGTTCACTGAAATGAAGATCAAGTTTATATCTGAGAAACAACTGACAGAGTTCTGACAGTTAAGGAGCTTCTCTGCATGCTTCCCCTTTATCAGCAGTCATGAAAACCAGACGTGCTGCATGTCTGAGTCTCCCTGCTGAAGCTCCCAGCTTTGCTTTGCAATGTGCAAGTCCTGATGTTTGGCACTTGTGCTCTGTCCTGAAGCAGGCCTTGGTGCTGCTGAGCTTGCTCGGTCTGGGGGAGGCAGGAGACAGTGCCTTAGCATGCAGTGGGTAGAAAAGCTGTTGCCAATCTATGCATGACAACAAAGAAATCAGCAGCAGCAGCTTTTGGTGCTGTTTTCTCCAGGGCCTGGCTGTCTTCAATAGCTGCAGAGCGGTGGATGGTGATGGGAATGGCAGGATGAGTTGCTAAGCTGGGAGCTGGAGCCATACTTGTGTGTCGCCCAGCACCAGCCTGGCCCCATTCCAGGGCTCGTGATCCTTACAGAGCAAAGCACTTTGATTAGTGCCCTGCAAGCTCTTTGATGCCAAAACCCCCAAAGCCACTCAGAGCTCAACTTCTGTTCCAGTGAGCAGCTGTCACTCTGCACACTGACAGCCAGCAGGCAGTGGCATTCAACATCACGGCCCTCGTGTGATGAAAATGCCTTTTGCTTTACGAGCAGCCCCTTCTCACCTTCTCAGTGTTGATGCCAGGTGAAACCTCTGTCATTTGCTTGGAAGTGAGAGCTGATGATTCCATGGTGCTTCGCTTTGGCTGCATCCTCTGTGTGCGACTTCCCTCCTGGGGTGGTCTGTAGGCAGTGGGAAACCTCCTGGGAGGCTGCAGGACAAGATTTCTGCTGGCTGTTTTATTTCTTCTGATGCAATTTGGGTTATGCTGATAGGACTTGGATTTTGTGTTAACTGTGCAGTGCCTGGTGTCTTAAAGCTTACCTAGCTCAGGAAGGTCAGATTATTTTGCTGCGCTCTTCCTTGCTGCAGGAGGAAAAGGCCAAAGCCTACAAGAAGGAGAAGCAGAGAGAAAAGAAAAGGAGGGCAGAGGAAGATCTGACTTTTGAAGAGGATGACGAAATGGCAGCTGTGATGGGCTTCTCCGGTTTCGGCTCAACCAAAAAGAATCACTGAGAAGCTCTGGACTCTGTTCTTTGTTGAAGCAGATTGTTTTTACCCAGGGGACTCTGGATAATTCTTTTAAGACTTGACTGAGGACTCGTATGTAAATCTCCCAGTAGAAGTTGGCCAGAGGAGTTGAAAAGCAATTCCGTGCTCTACCTGTGCTGCAGAACAAACTCCACCTGCCTTTAGCTTCCCGTCTCCTTCTGTGTCCTAGATCTGGCTGCTCATCAGTGCTCTTCAGCCTTGTGTGTGCGGGGAACCGTTCTGCTGGGTGCAGTTTTGTGTCAATAAAGCGCAGCAGTTCTGTACAGATGGCATTGCTCAGAATTCTTTCAGTTGTCAGCTGCCCATCACTTTCTGAGGCCGTGAGGTGCAGAGCAGCGCTCAGTTTCTTTTTGGATCACAAAATTGAAGGAATTGTGCCACGGTGAGCAGTGCTGCTCTGTACAGCCTGAACCTTTTGGCTTGTGCTAAGCAGAGCTGGGGGCTGCATGGAGTCCGGGTTACCGATGTATTTTATCTGTGAGGGGTACCTCCCTGGTTTTCTTTGTGTTTTGTGCCATAACTTTGATATCTTTAATCCAGGGGAGAAGCTCCTCCCCGGGGCTGATCTAGGATAGAGAACGTGAACAGCGTGTGCGATTTGCCCAGAATAAATGGATCGTTTTAATTGGCCCTTTGGTGGGAGTCTGAGTCCTTCTTTGTTTTGGGAGCCGATGCCTCCTGTGCTGCACAGAGCTGCTGCTGGCCTTCAGGGGCAGAGGTGAAGGCAGAGTTGGCCTGTCCTCTCCCTTAGGGGTGCTTGCTCAGCTGCCAGCTTTCCCCTCTGCAGGCAGTTTTGGGGTTTTATGGTTCTTCAGATGCACGTGAGAAATCAGGAGGGGGAGGGAAGGACGGGCAGCACCGGGGACCTGCATTTCCATCAGAGCAGACCATGCTGCATTCTGGAATTTACCAGCTTTCATACATCAAGGGCCACTTTTACCCTGTCTACTGGCTTCCAGTGCCGTTTCACCTCTGCCCTCCCCTAAATCCTCTCTGTTTCTGCTTTTATTTACTTGTGTGACTCATTTCCATCTCCGGTTAGGATTTATGCTCTGCGGGGCTGGCTTTTCACAGCTCTGCCTTGCTCCCTTTCTCTCCTCTCTCTTTTATGTACACTGATGAGATCCCTGTTCTTGCCCTTCTCTGTACTTTTATGAAATTTCCGACCCGAGGAAGGCTGAAGTGTGTTTAGCCTGCTCTTTCTAATACATCTAGAACAAATCCTGTAATGCTCTGCTGCTGTTTTAATTCCTTAATCTTAGACTGCTGACAGCTTCATTGCCTCAGGTCTTTCCACTTCAATTCAGATTATAATCCCCGTTGAAGATGCTATTGAAATGATATATAGCCAGTCAGATACAACTGTCCTTGGAGATTTGACCCTTTTAACTTGGCAATCCTCAGACTTCAGCAAACACTCCCTCAGCACTGGAGCTGGAAGGCAACTTTCATTCCAGCCACGTACCCAGCGCTGCTCAGACTGCAGCACGTGGCTCCTGCTGAATGGGAGAGAGGAGACGCTCGTGCCTTCGTGCCCTCTGGGGCAGCAAAGGGATGCTGCCACGGTTCTGTTTCACGCACATTAAAAGTTTAGGTTGTTTCAGACAAGATTTAGTAGCAGCCATTTTATCTCAGCCACCAGCTCTGCAGACGACCAGACCCTCACCGCAGCCTGAATTAAGATGATTGGACAAATGCTTCTGGGCCGAGCCGCGGCCCAACAGAGGACCTGGGGAAAGGACGCAGGCTGCTCTGCACCCTTTGGCTTTCCCAGTTTGTGAGCTCGGTTTCCCCGTGGAGCACACAGCACGCACTGGGGTGAGGGGCTCCTCCATGCCCTTCTCTCGTTTCCAGGTCTGATGGAGCCTTTCAGAGCCCACTGCCTGCAGCTCTCCATCACTCCGTGCCTCACATGGGAGATGGGGGAGGAAATCCCCCTGCGGCACAGCACAGTAGGAGAAGGCTTTTTTTTTCTTTTCCTTTTTTCCTTCTTTCAGATTCCGTCCCTCGATTAAAGCCCTTTCCCTAAGCTCAAGCCTGGGGCCGTTTGCAGCCCTTGGACCAAACCCCCTCGTGGCACTGAGGGAGAGCAGCTGCTGGTCCCTGTGCCCGGGCTGCTGTCCCTGTCCCGGGGGGAGCACAGCTCTGCCTGCACGCTGCTGGGAGCAGTGGTGTGTGCAGCCACAGATACAAGCTGCTGCCGGATTCCCAGCAGCGGGAGCTGCCTCTAGCCAAGGATGAAAAGCTGGTTTCATGGGAGGAAATAATATTTAGAGAAGAGACAGATAGCATTCCCTGCACACTTTGTGTTAACTCTTTGCTCCCACTGCTGCCTGGTGCTGCCATGGAGTCTGAATCCATTGCTCTGCCCCTGGCACTCGAGCAGCATTGTTCTTGGCTCTTTGCTAGCACTCACCTCATGCTGGATGGTGCTGGATTTGCCCTTGCAGACGTTGGGGTTTCATCAGGAGGAAGTGGGTCTCAGCTTGGCCGCTCTCCCCCCCTCTTCCTGCCACCAGCAAATGGTGCCCAGCTGCTCTGTGCCCTCTGCCTCCTACTTTGCTGTCACCTCACCTGCAGCCCATTTTGTGCAGCCTTTGCAGGGGCTGGAAAAGGCCCAGCTGGGAGCTGGCAGGGGAAGGAGGGACGTTTGTGTTGGGTTCAGCACCTCATGGAGGGTGCGAGGCCCCTGGCTGGGGTGGTTGCTCATAGTGTGTGGGATGCCACCATGCACCTCAGCCCAGGCAGGCAGGGGGATGCTGGCAGCCTCATCCTGCCCATTGCTGCTCCATCCCATTAAACATTGATGGCAGTGTTTGGAGAAGCACTCAGGCGGCACGGCAGACCCCAGAGAAAACAGCACTCCGTTTTATTCTCACATCTCCTCTTCCAGCCCTCTTCCTCCCTGACCTCATACTAGGGGGTGGGGATTGAAGCCCTCTGTGGAGGCTGAGCACCGCACACGATGTGGGGCTGCCTTCCCCATTCCTTCCTTCAGAGAAAAGTGGGAGGCTGCTGTGCACCCCAGTGCTGGAGGTACCCAAGGCCGAGCTGGATGGGGCCTGGCAGCTGAACCTTGTGGGGCCCTGCAGCCCATGGCAGGGGTTGGAACTGAATGACCTTTGAGGTCCCTTCCCAACCAATCATTCTGTCATAAGGAGGCAGCCCCTGTGGCTCTCCCATGCCACCAAATCTACTGAAGCTGTGTGTGGCTGGAGGGCTCCATGGGTTCGTGAACGTGAAGGGGTGTTTCTTCATTGCAAGCAAAGCAAAAAACCATCATCAGCTGGAGAGCAAACAGCCCCAGGCTGCAGAGGGGAAAAGATGGGGAGGAGTGGAGCAGCACCGGCCACAGGGCTGCTTTGGGGCAGCTGTGCTCCCAGGGCAGATTTCAGCCGGCAGCAGAGTCCAACCAAACCACCCTTGGGGCTCCTTGCAGGGCAGGAACTGGTCCCTGGCTGCCCACAGCGCTGCCATCCGCCGGGCAGCATGGAGCCCAGCAACACAGCCGTGCCTTTGTTCCTCCTCTTTCTTTTCTACCTCCAGATTTTTCCCCTGCTTCCAGCCTGCTGTGTGTGCATCACCCCCTCCCTGCCCACAGCTCCTGCCTGGTTTTCTTTCCCCTCTCCAAATATGTCCTCCTCACCCTTCTCCTCCCGTGCTGCTCCCCGCACCAGCACTGCCTCCCAGACTCCCCCACCGTCGCTCCCTGCTTCCCCACCTGCCCTCCTCTCACTCTCTGTCTCCCCTTCTCTGACAGTTTGGGGGGAATCTGTCTGTGTCAACGCACGAATTCCATTATTTATTGGCTGAGCGAGGCGAGGTCCTACACTCGTCTGTAATTGTCTGCAGATCAAAGCTCCTGCTGATGGCAGCTTCGCCTTCCCGCAGCAGAACACCACCCCCAGCCTCCCGGGGGGGTCGGACTCGTGCGTGTCGGCACCCTGGGCGACTGATCTCCCCGACAGAGAGGAAAGAAGTAGGACTGGGGGGGGGAGAGGGACGTGTAGAACTCCTGGGATCAGATGGGGATGCTGGGGGCATCTCAGGGGGTCCTGGGGGGTGGGGGGCAGGTAGGGGTGGTCCCCTGACCTGAGAGTGAGGACATGAAAGGAAGTGAAGGGGGGACTGGGAAGCTGGAAAAATTCCCATAGCTGTTCAAAGCTGGAAAAACTGGAATTTGCTCTCCAGAGATGAATCCCCTGAGGTCCGTGGTGGCTCTACAGAAGCAGATGGCTACAAAAGAAATGGGGATGGAGGAGAACGTGCCTTTTTTTTTTTCCTGCCTTTCCTTCCTGAAACAGCCAACCTAGCCCAGAGACAGGGGGCTTTGAAGTGAAATGCAGACACGTGTTTGTTGCTCAGCTGTAGATGCAAGGAGGTGCGTGGGGAGTGGGCAAGGACGCGTTGAACCCAACTCCTGCAAGGAGAGGGGAGGTTTCAGGTTCTAGGCCCAGGATCAGGGTGCTCCAACAAGGGAAGCTGCTGGAGTTATGTTAGAGTTATGACCCGTAGTCCTTTGGGAGCTGGCAGCATGCATCCTTGTGGCTGCAGGACCATAAGAAAGAGCAGGGCAAATTTCTCGTAGCATCACTCACAGAGATGGAGGGGACAGCTGTCGTGGTTCCCGTGCTGGAGGATGTGAAGTCACTCTGAAGCTCTCTTCACAGAAACAGTCTCCCCACTCTGGGGAACCTGGGCCTGATGAACACAGATCTGTTTGTATGGGAACTGATGAATCACGGCCTGAACCTCTGATTGATCACCTGAGGCGAACACTGAGCCAGGGAGCACAGTGAAGGCAATTCACCTGTGCTGCTGGAAGGGGTGGAGCCTGGCTGCACCTCTCCTAGAGCCATTAAGAGCTGACTGCCAGCAGGGAAGGATCTCTGCTGGAGATCTCTCCTTTTGGAGTTCTGCAGTGAGCCCAGCACACAGGTAAGCATTCTATCTATTCTCTTTTATCGTTATAACCGGCTTAGCCAAACTCTCTGGTTTATTTTGTAATTATAGCATCTTCGTATTCATTGATTATACGCTGTTCTACGTGGATCTGAGGACGCCACTGGCAGTTCAGACAGTCTGACCCCCTCTCACCCATCAACACGTGGAGATGTATGCCCCATGGGGGTCTGTGTGCCTGCAGCTGTCCTTTTAGCCCTGGCAGTTCTTCCTTGTGAAACCTCTCTGGCTCTGCAGTCAGCCCTCCTCCTCCTTTCTGCACAATTGAGGCAGCCTCACTTCAGCTTCCCCCTGCAAGTTCTTGTTCCAAGCCTTACATCAGTTGTGTTGTTTCTTGGTTGGTTTCATCTTCTGCTGGAACCTGGGATGCAGGCACTGTGTGCAGCATTCCAGGAACCCACTGCCTGATAGAGGGGGGCATCATCTCTCCTCCAAACATCTTACCACTGCCCAGCATCTCATCCCCACTCACTGAGCCCTCCCTTCCTAGAGCCCCAGGAGAGGTAATCTTCTCCCAGGGTATTCTCAGGGAAAACTCCCAGAGGATGGTTAGGAGAGGACAAATCCCAGGCCGCAGGGTAACGGAGACCCAGCTCTTCTCCTTCTGCTTGGGATTGGAGCTAATTCCAGAGGAAGAAGGCAGCAGCTGTGGAGTAATCTGTGTGCAGT